CATGTGTGCCTTGTCAGTCAGTCAGAGTGGTCTTTGGCTGATGGTCAGCAAAAACTGTCCTTTGAGACTATGGATTAGAGGGGACCAAGTGCTTAGGGAAATAGTCCAGTTGAAGTCTGAGTTACAACAGACTGAAATGGCTGGACAAAAAACTATCTTCCACAGCACAGAAACACTTAAACACGGATGTTTGAGATACAACTATTCCCTGTATATGATGCTCTCTAAAACTCAGTGATGCAGGGTCACAGGTGTAACAGGGCTTAAATGAAGTCTTAACTTCTGTACACTAAGTTCTAAACAATTTTTCAGACGGTTTTGTAGTATCCTGTACTAGTTGACCTTTTTCCTGAAGAAAGCCAGAATGTGGCTGGCTTTCTCATGTACCAGCTAATACTAGTTTAGTAAATGAAGATCTGTAATAACCCAGGTGTCCAAACAGCTCACAGATTCAGTCCTGTATGGTGATTTCTGGCTGGCTTTGCTTAAAATAGTCCATATGCTACTTTCAGCTTGTATATTGATGGGAACCTATTAAAGTCACTTCAGGATTCTGTTTCTGACTTTATTATGAGCAGTTTAGCTTCATGTTCTAACAATTTAACTTTCCACTAATTAGCTAGGTCAGCCCACAGTCACCGACAGGAACATGGGTGTGAGTCAGAGGCAGGCAGACTGAAAAAGTGTTTTCTTTTGGAGGAGACTTCCTGGAGGTGTTTCCGGAAGATCTGTCTCCCTTTACTGTACCCAAGGCTCCAAACTTGTTCACGGGTCTAATCTGAAACATCATACTGGCCTTTAAGGAGATGGAGTTCTTGCATATGAGCTGATTGGTGGATCATAAATATTCTTAGCCCTGAGAAAATGAACTGTATTAGAAAAACATATCCCATTTTACTGCTTCGAGAGGCTCAGAGTGCACACGTAATGTCTGCAGGTACATTATATACTGTCATTTGTTCAGCTGTGATAACTGTCTTCTGTCTGAGTCCTTCAGGCACATTTTAAAATGTTTTAACAGGGCACTGCAAGTAAAACATTTTTGAATCTCACATCTTTTGAAATTGCTGATCTATGGTTTAAATTTGGTTCTTAGGAAAGAAATTTAAATGTTTGCCAGTGCCTCATGAAACTTAGTGAATCAGTCCAGGATATGAATGAAAGCTATCTACTCCCATAAAAGCAAGTATCTGCTAATCAGTGATGTATGAATTGGAAGAACTGTGGAACAGACATTAAAAGCAAAAGAACTTTCAGCATGGCCTCCTACAACCTAACAGTACAAAATAAACTTAATTCATGTCAAAACAATAGTGCCAGAAGTGGATGTATACACAAAATGTTTGGGTTTGACCTTTTTAAATAATAGCATTTAAATGGTATTTTGCTGAGAAGAAATGACCAATTATAGGGAATTTCCCCTGGGAAAATTACATACAGCATACATTGCACGTGCAGTTAGGGAACACGTACAATAGTAACAGCCAAGTATTTCTCCTACGTTCTATATTTAAAATACCATGTTTGATCCTGGATTTCCTGCAAGGTCCCTCACTGTGGCAAGATGTCTTTCAAGTGTTGCCAGGGTGTATGCCTCAGGACACAACGGAACACAAGAAGGACAGACAAAAAAAATACGGTTCAAACAGGGGCCAAACACTAAATAGCACTATGTGCTTTTTAGACTGTTGTCTATGAAAGACTGACTGTTTCTATGAGAAATCTGAATCTCCAGAGTTTTAGTAGTGTAGCTTTAGAACAGTAACAGTTATATGAAAGACTGTTTCTATGAGAAATCTGAATCTCCAGAGTTTTAGTAATGTAGCTTTAGAACAGTACCAAGTATATGAAGAATTAGTCTGCTGAATGACAGTAGGAGGAGTATAAAGAAAATGGAGGATCTCTTGGTGCTCACTAACTTTCTGTGGCTTGATGAAACAATATGGATCACAGGCAGGTCTTTTTCACTGACAGAACAGTAGGTCAGAAGAGAGATGCTAATGTATGACAGCCTCTTCCTTAATCAAATTAAAAAAAAAAAAAAGGCTTTCAAGAAAATATTTTCTATAACTGTCAAATGAGCTATTTAATTGCTTCACTCAATTCTTCCCACTGGCTTGTTACCGAAACAGCCAACATAATTAGCAAGCAGATGATACTGCATCTTGAATAAGCTTGTATCAGAAATTTTCTTATTTTGGAAGTGCTTACTCCCTCAGCATATACTTGACATCCCACAGGGATATCTGGGAGAGTGCCAGCCCCCAGAGCGGGTCTGTTCCCACAATAGGTATAGCTGAAGGAAAGAGCAAGCTGCTTGGCTGAAAATTCAAGACTGAGTGAGAGGAAGGCTTGCAGTTAAACCACATGGATGATAAGGACCTGACTGGGTGAATATTATTATTAATTTTTTAAAATTACAAGTGGTTGAACTGAAGGGATGCGAGTATCTTAGTGGCATTTGATATTTTCCAATCGAAAAATCTTATTAGGCAGCTCAAAGCAGGTGCCTAAGAGGAGATGGATGCCAGAGGTGTGCCTTCTTATTGGACTGTCTGTACCATGTCACTGGGTCGAGGAAAAGAATATAATCTGCTCTTCACAAAAGTATTTTTCATTTGAATGGATGCTAGTTTGTGTCTAAGGGCATTTATAGTCCAAGAAGCATGAGGTAGTTAAGCATCTTATTCTGCGGAGAATTGCAGACATCGCTCTTCATCTCTGGGACTGAAGTTGTATTATTTTTGGGGAGGCTTCCTTTGGGCAACATTGAACTCAACGCCTAGCTGTGCAATCATGCAATGTGTGTTATCTTTTTCATTCAGGCTATTCTTGGTAATAAGATTCCTGCTTTCTCTGATTTGCCTATTGTCTTCTCTATAGATTGCAAGTACTTTGTCTATAAAACCTCAGAACAAGACAGCAATAGTGCAATGGAGTCCTGAGCTAGAAATACTACACTAAACCTAAGAAATTATATAGTAATAGAAATAAAAATAATGTAGTAGATAATTGCCTTGCAAGTTGGTATTAAAAGTACAATGAAACCCTAACATGCTGGGTAAAGCTGATTTCACTCCCATGTTGAGATAGCTTTGCGCATATTTCAGAGCAGAGTGGGGATGAAGCGTAACTTTTCTTGTGTGGGCTTTGCTATAGGGGTGATGGTGATGGGGTGTGTCACAGGTGAACGTTGCAGGTTGTCAGCATTTCCCATCGGGAGCAAACCAAACAATATATAATGTGACCAGCTATAAAAGCCTCCAAGGGTTTCAAAACTTGGTAATTATGTCTACGCTAAGAAGCTTTTAAGCCATGCCAAGTCAGTGACTGAAGCAGCTGTATTACTTAGAAGTAAGCTTTGAAACAATGAAAAGCTTCTCATGTAATTTAGCAAACAATAAAAAGAGGATTAACTATGAAGTTGGTGGGACGGCTTTTTTGAAGCCCTCAACATACTTTCGCTGTTTGGCCTCTTGTGTAATTACAGAACTAGAACTGCAACTTTTGAAATTCCTTTATTATTGAAATATATTTAATAACAGGGTTTAAACAGCTATTGGCCATCAGCTGGGCCCGAAAATATGACTTCCTTTATAATTAGAAGAAAGTACACTTTGGGTTTAAAATCATGTTTAAATAAATCTGTTATTTGTCACAGACACTCTTTAAGAAAAGGACAATACTTGGTACATTCCAAAGTATTGATTATGTTGGAAGAAAAGGATAAATAAGGAGAGAAATTTCCCTTCCATTATTTTGAACAGAAATCAATGTTAAATGGAAAAGGCCAAAATCACTTTGGACTTTTAAATTGGGCTATTTTAAAAAAGAAAAGAAAACCCTCAACAAACATTGTATTATAAATAAAAAAGCCCCATCCCTTTAAATGGTCTTTTTAAAAAGAGGAAGCACTACACATGTTTAAAAGACAAGTTGAATTGAATGTATAAAGACAAAAAAAAAAATAGGAGTTAAGGTCCAGAGGTAAACTCTGGGCTGGATTCAGCTGAGAAGCTACTGCCTCTGAAAATTACTATAGATAAATAAGTACAAGAAATAACTCAAAGCTACCAGATCTAGTGATCACTGGAAAGATACTACAGTGATAAGTGACCACCGAATAAGAACAGCACCCAAATGCAGAGTTTGTTCTGTATCTTCTACCTTGCATAATGCTACCAGAGAAAAGAGCTAGAACAGGCTTACAGAGCTGAGTATGCCGAAAATATCCTTCTAAATTGTTCAATACAATCTTACTATGGTTTGGTAGGTGAACCCAGGTTAGATTAGAATAAAAGCATGTTCACAGCAGGAGAATAAAGCCAAAGTCGGGTATTTTGATGCCTCTGGCTAGATTATGTAATTCTAAAATGATTCTCTCTTCCTGTGTGTTTTACATTCTTTATTTGGAACCAAATATAACAAAAAGATGAAAGTGTGTTTATTTGCATGTAACTTTCATACTTCACTGACAAAGTCTGTGTAGTGTGGATCATATGATAAAGCCATTTTAGTTGTTCATATAAGGGAATACGTTTTTCATTAAGTACAGTGTGGTGTTAAACTGTATTCTGTAGTTAGCTGTAACAGCAATTCTGTTCCTGCTGCTCTTCAGCTTTTTTTAATGAAACTGGACAGAAAATGGCATGGACATATACAGACAGCAAAGACAACCTTCTTCACCAAGAGAAGAAACTAATAACAAACCACTGAAAATGAAGCACTGAGTCTTCACTTCAGAAGGATGCAAACTCATATCCCAAAGGATAGTATGGCAAGAAAGCTAATGACATTAGTACATAGTTAAAGTTGCTCTTTCCTCATAATTGAGATGTATTCTTTCCTTAGATCTAAGAATGTTCAGGTGGTGTTGGTCTAAAATAGGTCGTGGCATTAATATCTGAAGTAATTATTACTGTCAGAAAAGTTTAATTCACTTCTTGACGATAAAAGAGCATTTAACTTATGCTGATTGCTTTTTTTTTTCCCCTCTGCTCCCCCCTCCTCCACTTCTGCCAATAGCAAAACTCACAAGTTTTGGTCATGTAGGGATCTCATGGCACCAAAGCATATAAGAAAAATTAAACGGAGTCTTTAAAGATTGTTTGAAGCCAAGTAATAGAAGGGAGGCATTGAGAACAGAGAGCAGATGTCTTCCCTCAAAGAGTCAGTAGATAAGCTCTGAGCCAGCCTGGTCCAAGCGTAATCGAGGGAGCTTTGAACTTTTCTGTATTCCCAGTTTAGCTTAACATATTGGCTTTTTCTTCAACCTGTTGGTTGTCATATTGTTAGCCAGTGTTGAAGCTGTAAGGGAACAGTAGTAGTTATTTAATAGCATTATTGATTCACATGATGATAATGAAAGATGTTCTAAGTACATTAGTTGACAAATCTGGAGTTACAAAATGTTTCGAAATAAATGAGTAGATTATAACTACATTTCTGTGGATTCTCATTTGCAGTGAGAAACGTGCTGAATATAAAGGCTCTTTAGTCAACTCAGTTTGGTTTTAAAATTCAGAACTAGCAAACATATATGAAAAGAAAATTTTTGTACTTGTTTGGTTATGGCACTCAGTGTTCTGTTTACAAACTTAAACATCATGAGCAAAGCACTAACAATGCTTTAGCAATAACAAAGCTATTTCTAGCTGTTTGTTGAAGATGGCAACAAATTAATATGCTCTGGTATTTAACATGGTTTGAGGTATCATTAGAAATTTACTTCCGAGTACAATCTTTTTTCTAATTTAAGTAAAATTCATTTACTTCCTTTTTGCCATTATAGATTTGGGTTCAGAAGACCAGTACTGTATAGGAATGGCTGTCTGTAGCCAGTTTGCACAGGAACATCTGCCTCTGGAAAAATCAAGTTATTGCTTACAGCTGGAACATTAAATCTTCAGACAACTGAGGGCAGGAATGGGGGAAGGAAAAAGCAGGAAGAGGTGCTGTGCTACCACATGCTCTTGGCCTCATCAAATAAATTGTGGTCATGAGACAGGAAGCCTTTTCTTCCTGCTTTCATTCTGCATCCCATAAATCTACACTTGGATTATTTCCTTTAAAATAAAAAATTATACTTCAAACAGTATTTTTTCTCAGTATTTTTCAGAGTAAGCAAAAGGCAGATTTCTTTTTTCAATACCAACATACAAACCACCACTATAAAATCTGGGTCATGTTTTGAGGTGGTGTGCATAATTCTAGTTGCTTTCAACTTTGAAGACAGAAAGGGGTCCAGCATGAATGCTGATAAGTGTAGCAAGCTTCATATTTGCATCCTTTTTATCTTCTACAAAAAGGACTTTGTTTCAATAAGCTCATTTTATTTGCTAAAAGGAAAGCATTGTTTGGAAATCTATAGCATATTTTTCATGGCTGCTTAAAAAGTCTCCAGCAGTGTTTTCAATCAACTGTAGGCCTGTGGGGAAAGCCTATTCCACATAACCTAGCACATTATTTCATCACGGCTATTATGTCTAAGCTTTGACACTGGATATTTGTTTTGCTGTTTGCCATGTGTTGTGGTACATAATTTGAGTTTAGGAGATGTGACTTCAGATTGCTGTGCAATAACTGAGGGAGAGGCTATGACCTGTTCAAATGCACATGATAGTTCGGAAATACTTTAATCTCTTAGTGAGATCTCGCTGTGTTCAGATACAACCTAAAATACTGGATTCAAGTGATGTGTAAAATTGTGGGTTCTGCTTAGTTGAGGGAGGAAGGAAGGTGCCAAAAGCCTTCCACCGGAGTTGATGTGTATGGTGCAGAGCCTCCTGCATCTTGTCATGCTGGCAGAAAAAAAAGAAGCACAGACCTGCAGAGGTTTCCACTATGGGGAGACTGATGCAAACCTGTAGTTGTTGCTAAAGACAGGAAAGAGTTGCTATCAGGAGAGAGGAAGCAAGGTGAAAGGAGTACAAACCTTAAATTGCCTGACATTTCCCTGGGCCACGAGTTGGTGCTCATTTTCAGGTGTGATGCAGTAAGCTAGTCTCTAAACCAGATGGGAAGAAGAGGAAAAAGTCAGCCATATGAAGTGGGATTATGTCTGTAATCCCCAATCTGTAATGAGGATGTAGCATGAACTTTATTTAAAAAGGTACCTTAAATCTTTAATATCACTGCATCGTGTGCCTTTAACTTAGTCACTGAGAGAACAAGCTTATTATAAGCTCCTTGATATTAGCCTTTAATATAAGAAGCAACAGTAGAAACTTTATGCAAATACTAAGTCCAAATATTTAGCAAGTGCATATGGAAAAGAACATCAGGAACAAGTTGGTATCACAGGCCTTACATCCCCTAAATTCACACTTTTCTGTTAGCGCTGTAATGAGGTTGACCAGTTCCAGTGGGAGAGGAAGAAGGTACTCACTATTTCCCACCACATCTACTTTGTCTACCCTATGCTGTGCCGTTTGGGATCACGTGTAGATTTTGGTTTATCATGAACTTTCAGTCAACTTAAGGAGTTCCTATTAGGCCAAGAGCATACCTTTCCCCATACTTTAAGAGCCACAATTTAGGGTATCATATCTTATGATACTTATTTGGATGTAATATACTAACTTTTCACTATATGTCTTATGGGGAGACTGAAGAGTTGCTGCCTGCCAGAGCTGTAAAGACAACCCAAAACTTGCTAACACTACACAATGAATGAGCAAATGTGTTTTTGGCCAAAGGTTTCTGCTACCTGATACGAGTAAACTTGTGCAAGCTGGCCAAAGCCTGTTGGGCCACTACAAATTATTTTTTGACACTTAGGTGCTACTAGAAAATGGGTTTGTAAACCCCCAGGAACAGAACAAAAGAAAGGGCTTACAGAATTGCTGGAAATAAGAGCTAGAAATTGTGCATAACACTGAGATGTGAGAGGTGATGAAAACAGAGCAGGTGAAAACGTTTCTCTTTACCCACTTTGGAGTGCCTTTCTGAGGTGAACATTAAATGAGATGACTGTAATGTTTCAGAAATAAGGCATTTATGCCTTTGGGCCTGCCAGGTCAATGCAAGGGGGAATGTGCCCTATATAGGTAAAGGGTGAGATCCTATTTTCTACTGAATTCTCAGGGATTTGCCTAAGAGCGTCAATATCTTGCTATACCATTGTGTAACTCTAGCTGTAGAAAAGGAGAGCAATAGAAATATTTATAAAACAGAGTCTAGATTAGGTTTATAAAATTGGGACATGTGATGGGACAACAATTGATGAGATATAGTGGTGAGCAGTCTTACTTCTGAGCACCACTCGAGGTTCTAACGCTATAGATAATTTACTATGACAGTTGTGGTAAAATTAATATGATCAGTGAACTTTAATCCTGTGCCATTTTGAACTGATAAAGAAACGTACAGGGGGGTGAACTCCTAAGGAAATACAGATGTGGGTTTTTTTCCAAAAGAAACAGGTTCTTTTAAATAGAATTAATATATTACAGATAAACGTATAAATGAAGTTAAAAGAACACTAAGGTTGCAATGTTAAACTTCTTGCTGTTAGGCAATTTATTAGAATAAGATGGTAACAAATTGTTTCTCCCTCAGTCTCTACTTTATTCGGTGCACACAGCAGGCATATTATGCATGAAGTGGGTTTATATAGTGCAGGATGCTGCTGTCTAGTACCCTGGTTCTTTTACTAAAGTATTTAAAAAGCAACACACTAGATGTTACAGATGATACAGGCACATAAGCTGTGCCGATATCAGAATTGTTTCTTGATTTCCAGATCTCTTTCAGCACCTTGGTCTACTTTGAATATTAAGTTTCTTCAAGCATTCTGATATTAGTGATGAACAACAGAAAGACCTGCAATAATTCTAGCCTTGGCAGAGTGCTGAAATAATTCTAGTAAATAGAGGTTAAGGATATGTATTTGACAGAGAAAATCACATACTAAGTGGCTGTTGTTAAAGACAGAATACTGGGCTAAATGGAGCTATTGCTGTGACCCAGTATAGTATTTCTTCTGTCCTTTCTGGATGCTCATTAAATGAACAAAGGCCATCCTGAACACAGGGCTAGTTTGGGGGCACATCCAACCCTGCCAGCACATGCATATGTGTTTAGAGACTATGCTAAGATAGGAGAGGTCTGAGTTAACTTTGTACATATAACAGTTTACAACACTCCAGTATAGAGTGATAAAGCATACCTTGGACTGAACTCTGTTTAGGTAGAGCTGTGTGAAGACTGTACCTCAGAGCTGAATATGAAGATACCATAATTTGTATATTTTTTGTGAATAAGGAAAAAACAATCTCATCTATCAGATTAATTACATGCATCAAAAATAATTTTTCAGAATTATTACAGTGCTTTCTGAAAAGCTAATTTCTATGTAGGAACTCAAACAGCATGCAGTAATCCTACCTCAAAACTCCAGTCCGTCTGACAGTTGGGTCCAAAAGGTCACTCATAAGTAATAAGTTTCAGGAGTAAGAGAAACAAACTGCCAACTTATATCAAACCATTTCATTTCCTAGCAACATTTAATGACATTTTATTAGCATTCCACTTACTTCTTTAAAGGTCCCACGCACATTCATAAATTTATAGATAATATAGGCAGGCACCAGTATCATTGAAGATAATGCTATTCCCCAGCCAATGCGATTTGCCCAGAGAGGGAAGGTGTAGTCATCGTAGGTCAGAGGTTTGAAATTTATTATGCTGACTATCACGACAAACTAGGGAAGAAAAAATAAAATGAACTATGGTTTTGGGATGAAGGAATGATTTAATGTGTTTTATTAGGCAGCTACTCTATGTTATATTTCAACCTAGCGTTACCATTTACCTTCATCCTATTTACTTTGTGTCTTACTGCTTAAACTGTTGAAGTTCTTGATGCATGTACTAGTATTAACAGTTCATTTTAGCTACTCTGGATACAATTATTTGATATTTTGGTGGGAAGATCAGGTGGTTTTCTGCTACTGCCTCATTTGAACTAATGTTAAAGATATAAAAAAAGGAATCTGTAGTCAAGAAACGTCTCTGCAGGATCTATTGTTTTTCCCTTCTTTGTTTCCCAAAGGCATTAAGCTTCATTTAGAAGTTTTATACCCATTTTTCAATGAGAGGCATGATGTAAACTCTAGTGTGCTGTGTTTACTGAGGGAAGGTCAAGCAGCCTTAAGGCCTGGAAAACAAAGTTGGTGGGTTGGTTTTTTTTTTTCTTTTTTTTCTTTTTTCTCCTGCTGGTGGTGTCCTGTCCAGTACTAGATGCAATAAGGAAAGAGTTAATGATGTGGGTTTAAAGCAAGCTGATAGTGCGAAGTCTGGTTATAAAAATGCTGATTCCATTTTTGAGATTTTTCTTGGGATGATGTATGTAGCTGCAGACAGTATGGAGAAAAAGCTTCAAGGAGATGTTTCCTAATGCCAGAGACCTGACCAACCCCAAGTTACATTTATCTTATACAAAGTTTGTCGTTAGGAACTGCTGTAATACGTTATCAGTACCAAACGGGGCCACCTTGCACTAAACGTGCATGGGATTGTTAGAGCAAGAATTATACCAAAGTCTGACAATTGTATAGCCTTTCCCAAATTATCATAAACTACATAAATCAAATAAACTATATCTGACTTTTTTTTTTCTTATTTGTATTTACTCCGCTTATGGTCTCAGTCTCTTCTGCTGAGGCAGTCTGTATGTTTCATACAGGTGGTATAAAAATGCTGTTTCTTAGATCAGTGACCAAATTTCTAGACTTTGTAGTTTTAAATTATGTAGGCTAATGGTGGACTACCTTTTTTCATGCTAGTGACCATCTTTATAGTTTTCCATTATAAATTACTAAGTTAAACTATTTTGGTCAACTTAATGTAATTTGTTATATTTTCTTAATGTACTGAATAGAAATGAAAATAATAATGAAAAGATAGGCTGTAAAATCGGTAAATTATATTTACTTTTCCCCTATAAATTAAGATTGTAATGTCCTTGTTGCCTTTTAGAAAACTGAGAAAATGTACAGCTGTAGCAAAACTGCCTCATGTCCCTTGCCTAGTCATCATGGGTTTAAAAATATATTGGTATCCAGTAATTAAGCAGATATGTTCCAAGTTTGGCACTTCTAGCTGGAAAAAAAATCTGTGCATTGTGATGGCTGAAAGACCTACAGATTCATTCTAACCCTTAAGTTTATGAGCTTCAGTAGGGAGATATTGGGGCCATTTCACCAAGAAATCTTAAGCCACCTGAAGGTTAGACTGACAATCACTTTGCCTTTCTCTAGCTAGGTTGCTAGAACTCTGCTCTTGGTAAAATTTAAATTTTCAACAATCTCCTAATGTGTAAAAGCTAATGATCCTTGGTGCAGCATTTTTCCCATTCTGCTTTAGTCAGCCTGTTTGAAGTGCTGCAGGATACAGTTCCATACAAGCCTCTCTATAGAACAGGGTTTAAAAGGATAATTAATACATGCTTGGTAGGGGCTTACTGATGAATTGGGGCCAGAAGCTTTTATAAAAAACCCAACCAAGTGGACCTGAAGGCTGTCATAAAAGCCTACTTAGTGTATCTTTGGAATACCAGTGCTGATTCAAGAATGTGCAACTTTAATGGAATTAACAGTCTCCTAAAATCATAGCAAGGTCAAATTTCCATATTATTCATCCTGACTTTTTGATTTACAAATATGCATGGGAAAAGATCCCAATATAAGACTGCAGTTTAGCTCTGCTTCTAACCTTTACACAAAGCAACCAAATTCACACTCTGGGATTATTTTTTTTTTCCCCACAATTGTAATGAAGCACTTGTTTTTTCACATCAAGCAGCTTACAAGGTATATTTAATACATCTCTTGAGTGTTTCACATAGCTAATTACTGGGTGTAGTTGCATATTAGCTGTTCTAAGGTATCATTCCACAATTCGGGGATCTTGGTGTCCTCCAATGAAGCATAAATTCTTGCTAACACTATCCCTGGTTAGTTTATTGCCACTACAGAATGATTTAAGTTTAGTACGCATAAATGCTTGGGGGACAGGGAGAACACTGCCTAACTGTTCAGTGGTCCCTAAGAAAAGCTGCTTTCTTTAAATCCTGCTAAAGTGAAGGAACGGAATATGACCACAGCCACAATTAGCTTCTCTTTCACAACTGAAATGTATTAATAAAATATAACCAATGCCATTGAGGAGAAAAAAGAATTAAATTAGTGTCTTCTATTCATCCTAACGATGTCAGGCATAGCAATGAGTGTCTTGCTCTTTGTACCTATTGTATATTCTAGGAAGCAACATACTAGCATTCTTTCCATGATGTAATAATTATCAACACTTACCAGTAAAAAAGCAGGGCTAACAAATTTCCAGCACAGTCTCCAGTAGAGGCCTGGCTTGAAGCCCATCATTTGTTGGATATCTTCACTGAATCTGTCCACACCTAGAAGGGATGTGAATGTCAGACTGGCTTAAATCTAAACCGATACAATGCTGGCATATCCAAAAACATCTGCTTTTACATCTGCTTTTACAGAAAGCAGACAATAATGGCTTCCAAATCAGAAGGCATATAACAACACTGATGGCCTTTCAATGACTAGATGTGTCTGACATCACTGTATCCAAGACTTAAATGCCTGTGAGCACTTAAGGTCTGTTACAAATAGCATTACCATTGAAACGTGGCATTTCACAAACATCTCAAATTTAAGTTGTGAATGGGACATATGTTTTTGTAATAGTCGTGGACTATTGTAACCTAATTACTCAATACTATTAAAAGTACACCGAAAGAGAACTCAGACCCTTACTCTCACACACTGCTTGCTGACAATTACTTAGATTCATATGATTCTTAATTTATCAAAGGATTCTTATTTGTTCCAATTAGTGGCATACTTTACCTTCTTTCAGCATTTCACTAAATACCACAGAATGTTTGTTATATGTATGAAAAATGTAATTTCATCTTTTATCAGCTTTCTAAGGAACTGGGTAGATGCTTCTTCTGTTCAGTGAAGTATGTAAAAAACTACATTAGCTAGAAACAGGTGGCCTTTTTAGAGTATCCTGTGTGTTTTTGAAAACTATAATACCAACTAGAATTTTCTGAAATTGTTACCTCTATGCATCTAAATATCTAGTAATGTAGCTCTTGTAGATGCCTTAGAAGATACATGATTTGTTCATGTATCAGTAGTAGCCAGAAATAGTAGAGAGTAGTCAGAAATTTTCCCTGCTGCAGTAATTAAGATAGCAGAGGAAAACATGAAAATCATTAAATAAAGACACAGATCGAAGATAAGTCCTGCTAATTGTACCAGGAATATAGAATATCCCTTTAGAAACATGGATGGCTTGGTTACTTGATTATTATCAAAACCTTGATAGTAACATACAGTATTTCAGTATAAGACTTTGTATATTAGCATGCAAGAAGTAATGCACAAGACTTCTATTGTCAGGAAAACTATATAACAGTATTCCATTCAAAATCACTCAAACATTAGCTACTTACAGTGGAATTTACTGCAGTGCAGAGAAATGGACACACCAGAAAAAAATGTGTTTAGCAAGTGACATAATGGCCAGAGGGGAGAAGAGCTGCAAATACCCAATTCTCAGTCTGTAATATTCCTTGAATCCATCTAGTCTCTGATTTTGTGTGTGTGTATTTAGTATGTCAGTTGAAGTACTAATAGCTATAAAAACAGTGTAAATAGTTGCAGTAGAAATCTCTTCCCACAGCCAATGCAGAAAGGAAGATCCCCTGACCTTGTTGACTCCACTTCAGAAACACTATCTAGACAGTCACTTCAAACTTGGAATAGGTCATGCTGCACAGACCAAGGGGAAAGCAAAAAAAATCTGCTGTCCTGGATGCCGCAGGACATGGCAAATTCTGTAACAGCGAATAAGGAAGAAACGGCATTTCGGTTAGTGCCTTTTAATTCCTTATGGGTTTTATACATTTAAGTGTTAAGAATTCTGTATCTGAACGCTTCAGGAAGGACTGCAAAACTGTAATACGCTTTCTGTGAGTGGTACTAGCCTGATCTAGCTAAACATTTTGAGTAGTCTACAAGGTATTAAGCTGTCTGTATGTAGGAAATTTTTTTTTAAACTCTAGTACTATTAACTCATGTTAACTTACAGGCTTTGGACTTTCTGGAAGTGCTCTAGTCTTCAGGGGGACATTTTCCATCTTCAGTGTTTATTGAAACACTTTTTTGCATTAAGTGATTTACTGTAATTTACTATGCAAAGCAAATATGTGTTTTATAGTGATTCTAAAATGTCCATTTGAATGGTAGCTTCTTGCCAGTTTTTCTTATTGATTCTGTTCTGGTTGAATTTACCAGTATGAAGTATCTTGCAAAAGTTTAATCTAAGCCCATGCTATTTTCCACACTGTATTGTAAAATGGGATGATTATCATTGATATAAAAATACTGAAAAATGTCCTTCTTATTTTTCTTTTAAAAAGAAAACAACCTCTGACTTTAAGCATTAGAGACACTGGCTCACAGAGAAGTAGTTCTCTCTAGGGCAACCTGTCACATCAGACTATTAGTCTGCGATTCATTATACTTGATGTGTTCAGGAAGTTTAATTCTAATCCTGAACCCTATTAGGTAAAGAGCAGAAATGCAGCTTTTTGTTATGCATATTTGTTGATTAGAGAGGATGTATAATTTACCATAATAATTGTTTCTCTTCATGTGGATCAGTTCAGTAGGATTTATTTAATGAAACAATTACCTTGAGTTAGTCCTTTACATGCAGCCAGGGTGTAACATATGTACAAGGTCTGGACATTCGAGTGTGAACATCTTTGATTTCCACCCCCCCAATATTATGTACACGTGAATCAAAGTAGCCAAAAGGACCTGCAAATGCTCTTTAAATTTAATCTAATTCTATTTGCAGTGCATTCCGTGAACTTTAAACTGACTGAATTTCAACTGCTGTGAATGCTGAGTGAAATTTATCGTTGTGCAGAAGGTCAAAGAAAAGAACTAGATATCTCAAAAAAATTTTATTCATAGGTTTCCAGACAGACGTACCCCAGAGCTCAAATAGTGCTTTGTGTTCAATTTCTACTGAAAATGGGGGATAAGTAGTCCATGCTCCCAGACTGCTTTTTTCAACAGCATGGTTTTTCAATACCATATGTCTTCAAATAACTGTTCTAAGAATCACCCTGTAGACTAGAACATAACTGTAGCTACAGATGATGGTACCTGTAGGGCTTGGTTTTTCTCCACTTCTTGAAAGCATTTACCCATTTTTTTTGTGATTCTGTAGGATAAACTGAAACTGAGAGTGACTCATTAGTTATAGGAAGGAACTGGTGTACCACAAACAAACTCCAGATTACTTGCTGGAGACCTGGTGGTGAATATGGAAATAATCTCCTTGCTTTTCCAGTGAAAAACAAGTAAGAGACTTACAAATTGTGATCAGATACTTTGAACCCAGAGAGAATTTCAGTGTAATTTCTGAACTAGTAAACACTGCAGCTACCTGAGAACATCTCCACTGTGATAGTCTATTAAACATCCTAGAAAATTTGACCCATTCTCTATGTATATAATATTATGTTTTCAAGGGAATTAAATCAATATGCAAAAAAGTACAAATTAGGAAGAAAGTGAAAAGTAGATTTGGCTATAAATGCAAGTTACCCTCCTCACATTTGGACAACCTTCTTTCCTCTCAGTGGTGCAGAGATCAGAGTTCAGGTAGAATGAAATTCTATGTTACCGGTACCTCCTGCACCCACTGCCTTCTAGATCTTTGTTAGTCATTTTGCTGTGTAGGATCAAGCAATGGCTTCAGAACCACTCACTTGCACACAAGCCCTTGAGCAGGTCCTGGCCCCAAGGTGAAACTGCTCAGTGGCTGTAGCTGAAATAATTTGTGGGCGTGTTTCCGAAAAGTAGTGTCACAGCACTGATAATCATTTGGATCCCTACAAGAAATCTTTGTATGTTTTGTTTTCCCCTCCTGTCTTGATTAACTATGTGATGTATAGTATTCTTTAATATGCTTGTTTTTTTTTTTTATTTGAAAAGTAAAAATTAATAATAATGCCTTTAATGCCATACATATGATTTAAATGAATCCAAGAAATCAAATGAACTACATTAAAATAATACAGTAGCAAGAAAAAGGTATATTGAATCAATCTTCAGGTTATTTTGCTCTTAATGCCTTTTCCCTGTGAGTGTTCCTGTTTGTTTTTTTGGTTTTTTTTTCCAATATTGAGTTTTACTTCTGTGGATGTGCAGAGCAGTGTATGAGCTCACACAGTCTGTATGCAAGTTAAGAGTTGTAGTGAAACTGCTTCATTGATCTATCCTATATTTTGGCCCTTGGGAATGACAGTAAATCACAGAACCATCAAATTATTCCTGTTGGAGGATTTCTTGGGAGGTCTCTAGATCAGCCTCATGCTCAAATCAAGGTCAGCACAATTCAGAACAGCTTTCTTATGGCTTTGTCCAGTTGGGTCTTCCAAACCTCCAAGAACAGTCAGCAAGCACTCCCTTGGCAATCTGTTCCAATGTTTAATTATCCTTATATAGAAGAATTATTTTCCTCCTTTCAATTTGATCATGGTCTTCTGTTCTCCCGTTGTGCACATCAGTGCAAAGCCTGACTCTTTCTTGGTAACTTCCTTGTAGGTATAGGAAGGCCACTATCAGGTCCTCCCTAACCCTTCTCCAGGCTAAATAAGCTCAGACCTCCTTCACAGGACACGTGCTCCAGCTCCTGAATGCCTTGGTGGCCCACCACTGGACTCTTTCCAGTTTAACACCACTTTCATTTACTGAGGGTTAAAAACAGGACACATTATTCCAGATGCAGTCTAACAAGTGCCAAGTAAGAGAATAATCACTACCTTAATTTCCTGGTTATGCTTTTGTTACAGCTCAGTATGCTGTTGGCCTTCATATGCTGGCAGATCATTTTTCTGACTCATTTAGCCTGCTGCCCACATCCCCAAACAGTTCATCTTTGAGTGCAAGTAGCAGGTCCAGGAGAGTGTCACTTGAGGTTTGCCCACCTAGCATCTGTGCAAAGAAGTTGCTTCTGATACCTTCATTTCCAAGAATTGAGGGTCTGATCTGGACACTTCTTTAAGTTGCCTAAATAAGGCTTCTTCTACTTCCTGACCCTGATCAGGTGCTCTGTAACAATATTCCCCACAATGTCATCCTTGCTGGGCTCTGCCCTGTGACCCACAAGCACTCTGCCATCCTGTCACCTATTCACTACATTTGAGTTGTTCTTCAGCACATAAAGACAATACCTGCCCCCTGCTTCTGTCCTAATGAGTGTGTATCTGTCAAATGCAGAACCCCAGTCACACAAGCCCTCATCCATAAGGAGACGAGAGAAGACACTGTTTTTTTCACACAGTTCAGCGATCGTCAGCATTGGGAACATCAGAAGGAAGGGATACAAAGAATATAAATGCCATTGTATGGCATTCAGAACAGAGGACAAAATAAGGTATCTGTTGATTACCCATGTAGTAAAGTAAAAACGACTGTCCCTTTTTGTTCCTGAGTCTTCTTTCTAACTCTGGAGCAATGTTGACATTCATTGGTGGTGACCATCACCTCGTAGCAGTAAGGGAGTAAGCCATACCAGTGCCGTTCCCAAAGAAGGGCAGATGTGCTAGTGTAAGAGCAAGCAGAACAGTAGGAAGCATTTCCCCACCATGGTAGTGCAGTAAGCTCTCAAGTTGGTTTGCCCTATTTGTATTTCCATTCTCTGGAAATGTATGCCTTCATACTTTGTCTCTCATGCCAGGCACACATCCATACAAAAGCATCTGCGAGCAAAAGATGAGTTCCAGCTGTAAGTACTTGGTTAACTTCTTTCGCTTTTGCAAAATCAGACAATCAACCTTAGAATTTTTTTTCAAATAAATTAACCTTTTTGGGTCTAAGGGATCTTTTTTAGAAATTATTGAAGTAAATGAAAGCAATGAGATCACAGGTGAGGATGAAGATCCTTGCTAGTTCATACTGAGCTTATTCTAGTCATTCAGGGAGATTTTTATATTAAAATCTGACTGAGTAGGGATTTTCCTGCAAGTGAAACTGAAGAGCAGTTTTGTGTCAGTGGGAGAGGTGTCTGGCCTTACTGAGAGTATTCATCAGAGGGATGGTATCAGGGTTGCACAAGAGGAAAAATGGTCACAAGCTAGCAGTGATAACTAAAATACATCTGCATAGTCAAACGAACTAGCTCTACCTTCTCTTACACATACTGGTGGCCTTTGCAAGAAGAAACTTCACAGTAAGTGGCCATAGGTATAATTTGAACTAAATTTCCACCTTTTTTGGTCTGTGCCAAAATGTCAATGCTTGCCTTCAGGCTGGCTTAATATTCAGCTGGGTCATGAAGACAACTGGGGTCTGTCAGAAAAAAGAGGTAGACAAGACCATGCCATATTTAATCAGTTTAAATAGCACCCGGGGTTGTAATGAGTTCTCTATAAAGCAACAGGTCATGCTGTGTCAGTAAAAACATCTGTCAGCTGCTTAAGATAAATGAGTAGATGTTTTCCCTGTTATGGGGAGGCAGGAGGGAGAAAGGAAAGGATGATGGAGAGAAGGTCCAACAAACAAAAATTTGACTAACCTTGTCTTAGTCCGTGAACCACAGCCAAAGCCTAGCTATTGTAAAATGCAGTAAATCCTATTTTAATAGCAGCAGATAACTTGCCCTTGCTAACAGAAGAATATTTTTCTGCCTCTGCTTCCAAGCTAAGCTATGATCGCTCTTTTGCATTCAGCTCTTTTACAGAGATTAAAGACAGTTGGCTGTGAAATCTAGTGCCCCCACTATTTTGAGAGAGAACAGCAGATGAGCTGCCAGCTCCATGCTGATGTTGGGTGACAGAATTAGTACGTTAAAGCTAAAAAATATTTCTTTAGTAGATTGAACAGCTCTATGCATGAATGCTGTTCTTTCACCTCATTCCCTCATCAACAGTTTCTAATTGCAAGCGAGAATTTGTTTGACTGGAAGAATGTGGTGGTGCAGGATGGATAAACAAGTGACTGAGGGAAGTAAATGGCAGTAAGAATGATAATGTTTAAGACCCTTCTGAATCATGCATTTAACGATAAACACTATTTCTGAATAGAAATGAAGATGACTTTCAGGGGAAGAACAATCTTACTGGCAATCACGGCAGCTAGTTCAATACAGACTTCAAAGGGAAGAAGACTTGCAGGCTGCCATGACATTGAAACCAGGTAATAACGAAGAGAGTTGTGACCAACCAGAAGGTATGATGTGAAAATTAAGAGCAGATGAGGAAGAAAAACAAGAGCTCAAGAAACTTGATTAATCCAGCAGCAAGCCATTTCAGATATAACTGATAGTTTGATCTGTTGCAGTGAGATGATTTGTATAAAACCTAAGATGCAGAATCCTGTTCTTTACTTGAGGAAAATTAGATATTCTTTTTGGGGTCCTTAGAATTTTATTAAACTTGTCTGTGACAAGATAAAGAACTGATAGCATTCTCCCCACGAGAAAGGAAAAATCACTTTCACTGTTTCTTTGGCAAGGTAGGTCTAATTCGGATTAAATTATGTCTTGTTTTCTGCTTGATTTGGTGACTTAACAGCATTTGTAATTTCGGCCCTTCCAGAGGCAGAATCTTTTCCAGTGAATAAGATTGCCCCACCTTCCTTTACAATAGGTGAAATTTTGAACTCTGGGTCAGTGGTAGAACACAACATAAAAAGTACTCCTCTAGCTTGGGGGTGTAAGGGGAAAAAGGGCAATGTTTGAAATGCTGACTTCAGATATTTTAAAACACCTAGTCTATTAAATGCTGAGTTAGGGATGGGGAGAACACACATGGGCCAGATACTTTCTCATATAATCGGAGGTTTATCAGGCTATATATATAATCAAGTGTTCAAATACTTGTTCTGTAAGCAATATTCAATTTAACCTTTTTGTTTCAATTCTTTGAGAGTAGCAGTAGTCAACTTCGTCACTTATAGCAGAGGATTGTGGGTTTTTTTTCCATGGTGAAATGGAAACAGGACACTTCCCAAGACTGAAGTTCCTGTAGGCTGAGGGCTGAGCTCAAGCAGACTCAGTGTCCTGCTATGTTGCCAAAGTCAGTGTTGTGGCAGAAAGCGCAACTTCAATTTGTTGGTTGTTCCCTAGTTAAGGTTATCCAGGAGCATTCGTATGGGTTTAGAGCAGTGAATGTGTCTGTTTTGCCATTATTGTGGTCATTTATATAGTGGGAAAGAAAAAAAGTTTTTCTTTCTTATGAAACTTGTGTGTCAAGTCTCTTTCTCTTTGTTTATGTCACTTTAGGGAGGAAAAAAATACTGAAGACCGTGTAAGGCTAGGGAAGTCATTTAATAAGCTGGGCACATCTTCTGAGACCTGACTTACTTTGTGAGCTGTATTTTTTCAGGGTATTGTAGCACATCACTCTAATTGGCACACAGTGATTCCAGCCTAGTGCCAGAGATCAACTGAATACTCCTAACAGCTGCCATATTGAGGATATAGCAAACTACTGCTCCTTTTCTGTGGCAGAAATTAGTATGAAGTACCAGAAATAGTATTATTTCTGGTATCTAGGATGTTTAGCATTCCATACCATGCTATGAAATAAGACAAATTTTAAACTACTAGTGTTTTACAATTAAGTAGAATATTATCTCAAACAAAAGGCACTACTGTAGAAATTATTTTTAACTCTCTGAAGACAAACTACCTTTATTTGTATTGCATGTGGAGACCTTGAGGTTGGCCCTGGGGAAATCATGGAAAGGAGGAAGAGGTGAGCCTGTATTTAGGCTAATCTATTTGCTTTGAAACTACCCAGGTATAAACCTGCTACCACAAGTCATCAGCTAAGTTAACAGCTGCAAAATATTGGCAAAAGTAGCAACATTTCCATCCCACTGCAGTCTCTGTCACAAGGCAGTTTTCTTTGGCTTTGTGCAGGGTTTCAAAGTTTGGCCCACTGAGTGTCTGCATTCCTGTCACTATTCATAAATCAGATGAAAATCCCTGTATGAAACCTGGCTTGTCATGGTTTCATGTGTACAAGGCAGTGATGTTTTCCCTTAAAACACTGTGAGAGCCTGTCATGAGCACTTGGAATTTTAGAAAAGATTTTTCAGGTGCAAAACGAAGTGCTTACCGTAAAACCAGGAAACTCCTATTGCCTCCATTAGAACAGCAAACAATATTGAAGTCCCAGCTGCAAATGTGTCCAGAAGTGTGAGCACATAAATTCCACCCTAGCATTGGGGAGTTAAAAGATGCAACAAAACACAGTTACAAATAGAATAATCTCAGTAGTTTAGTATCAAGATCACAGAAATCTGCTTTCCTTGAAACATTATCTTAACTCACGTATTTTAATGTGGAGCTGATGCTGCACACACGCGTTCATATTTGCATAATCAATAGTGGAATCAGACTTGCAACTCTTTTGCAACTCTTTTTAAGAGGCTTCCTTTCACCTATGTCTGCACTGAACTAGGAAACAGAAGCCTCAGCTTAGCGTGATTAATGAGCACACTTGGCGTTCAGTGGAAGTTGAAGGCATTGGCTGTTTGGGGAAATGCGTGGTAGCTTGTAGGACAGGGCCTGTCTACAGCAGTTAATGAAGATCTTCCAAAATTATTGGCGGGAATGGAGTCACAATTTTCCACAAGCCATTATCACTCAGTTTGTTCCTGCAGCCAATTATTCTATAGTCCAGTGAATCTGCAGCATTGGACTGATGTCTCCTTTCCCAGAGTGCCTGCATATCTCCTTCCCAGTGGTGCTGCAAAGAGCGCAGTTGCCTGTTACGTCTCTGGTACCAGCGCAGTGTGGAAACAGCTCTGCCCTCTTTAGTTTCTTTGCTGTGCTCTTAGCAAGCCTTTGCTCAGTGGAGAGACCAAGCCACGTCTTCTTCAATTCATGACTGAGAACTGTAAATGCATTTACTAAAGTCTTGTTTCACCGATACTTTTTTTAGTTGCAATTTGACTACTTTTTACCTTATTATACAATGTGGTGTGCATTTGTGTAAATTACTGCTCATTTTATTTAGTTTGGGCTAATGAGGATTGGAAGACCTTGGTATGTTTACTTGTTTCAAAATGAACCTGAATAATGTCTTTCAGGACATTCTCTGTCACATGTAAACAACTGAAATGTTTGCAGTTGCAGTAGATTTTCGTTAAAATCTTTTCTTACAACCAAACTTAATCTGAGTACGCCTGTTCAGTAGTGGAGGAACAAAAGAATTATTTTCCGTGTTTTTACCAATGGTATAAATAGCCCTTGTGCTATTTAGATTTTTAGCTGATTTTAATCTCTGCAATCAATCACTTTTCTTTTTTTCTTATAAAAAGATGGTTTTCTGAAACAGCTGTGCATATTTACAAAAATAGAGAGAACAGTACTTAGGCCTTGTCTAGGTTTTTAATTCTGTGGGGATTTTTCCAGAAACTGAATGAACTTTGGTTGTTGTGTTAGAAAGACGATGTTGCTTGTTGAATGACATTTGAGTTTGACCTCTTGTTTTTACTGTACACCTGCTCTAAATGAATGCCTTTGCTATCAAACTTAGTAAAATGAATGACAAATATGGTTTTGTAAGAAACATGTTTTGAAAATACAGCCTGAAAATTTCAGAGGACAAAATCAGAGTAATGTGATGGTATCACAAGGGGTTTTCTTTGTATTTTGTTCTTCTTCAGTTAGTGAAGCAATACATTTGGACAAGTCTGGGTAGTTTTGTGCATTCCAGCTGGTGAGGTGAACTGAAGTCTAAACAGATGCTGTTATTTAAAAGCTAGAGCTAGGTTGATATCTTTAACTGCTTTAGCTCACTTGAAGGCGGTGGAATTGCACCCATTGGCACCTGTTCAGGTTTTTAACCACCCAGTTCCTTTGGATCTCGTACTTCAGGAAACTTCAGTTGAAACTTTGAATAGGGAAGGAGTATGTTCAATTCTTTCGGTAACAATGGAGATAGCATGATATTAGAAGGATGGGTACCTTAAATGATATATTGAGTTTTAGAGTCTCAAATGTTTACAGTTTGAGGAAACTAGAGTAAGAATATTGGGGTATTCTTTTAGTATAAAGAGAGCTTTGGTGTTGATAAACTTACACCATTTCAGTAATCTTAATAATAGATCTGGAAAATGTTTTTAAGGAAGAAGAGAGGTTCAGCGTATCTACTGTTATGGTGGCTACCTCAGGTTTCAGTTTCTTTCTAATGCTTTTTGGCATTTTTGCTTACAGAGCTTTTTGATATTTGTCAAAATATTTTGAAAGTTCTTTCCGACCTAGACATTGATTCTTATCCTTTAATTGTCAAAAGCCTGATGAGGCAAATCATTCAGATGATGGTAGTGATAAATACAGGTTACCGGATGTTCAGGATAAGTTATCTATGTGCTTTCTATGGTGTTAAGGGTAAGAGGGAAGGCCTAGGTACATGAAGGAACATTAAGAAATGCATCGGGGAGAGGAGATGATTGTTCTAAACCCCTTTCACAAGAAGTGAATGCTGCTTATTTGCTTCAAGATGAGAATAGCCAGATGACTAAAGGTCTGGGCACTTGAAATCTTTAGTTCCTTACACAGGTATAAGCACTTGACACAGCTCCATTTAATGTGATTAAAAAAACCCCAACAACCCACAAAAAAACCGAACATGCAAAACCAAACAAAAACAGTAACACAGACAGTTCTTTGGAACAAAGACTTGTAGGTTTCGTTGATGGCTAATGATCTTGTCCAAAAAAGCAGAGAAGCTTCATGTAGATAAGACTAAAAGTAATTACTATAAGTAATGTTCTGACCATAAAGGTGTTTAAGAATTAAAATTTATAATAAAAGTAGTCACCTAAGCCTATTCATATTTCTATCTGATGAGGTTAACTGCATTTTTAAGGTAGCTTCTTGATGGAAACTTTTGTTGTACTTACATTGGTGATGCAAAAAAGGGCAAGTAGGAAAGTGCCAAAAGAAACACCAAAGGTGAAGAGCTTTCTGTGCTGCTTCAGAATTTGGAAATCATCTGCCAGGCCAGTGATGACAGCCTCCATTCCACCCATCTGAGGAAGGAAAGGCAAGAGCTCTGGTTAAATGCTACTGACTGTAGCGTATTCGTCCATACAGATGGACGAATGTAAAGTAGCTTGTAGAATTGATTCCCAACCACTGTATGATTTCTGACATTTCAATTGCAAATCACTGGCATTCTGAGGTATAATTTATTTTCTTGTGGTAGAGAACTGAGTCAGGGAACCGGAGATCAACTGTGATGGTTGGTGGCTCTGTAGCCGTATCCTCTGCAGACCCTTTGACTCACCAGGATAGTAAGTAGACAGTACTTTGGGAAAAGTAGCATACATTTTAGCATACTTCAGGGAAGAAGCTGGCAGTTTAAGTAACCAAACTCCTTAAGAGATTTCTAATACAAAGACAGACACAAGCACCTGGGAGAAACATACCAAAAAAGATTCAGTTTAGCTATTGATTAACCAAATCCAGTTTGACAGAAATATTTACAGACCTGGAAGAATCACTACATAGGAAGCTTGATGTAATTTTTTTTTTTTTTGACAACATGAAAGAATTTTACTTTGTTTTCTAGAAGTTAATGCTAAACATTAGCCATTCTTTTGCAATATGGAAAAGGTACTTCCCAAGTTTTTGTTGAAATTGCTGGTTTATGTAGGTTGTTATGAATTTTAATTTCCTACCACTAATGAAAGCATTTGCTCCCCCCCCAAGTTGTGAAAATCAGTTCTAGTTTCCTGTCATAATAAATTTGTTTGATGTTTCGGAGAGGCTGGATTCTATGCTTTTTTTCCTGAAAGATCATGGCAAGACTTGGAGTGCTTAGTGCGATACAATAGTTGGTAAGTAGGTGCTGACATAGCCTGTCTCTTTCCTATAAGAATATGATGAAGCCAACATCTCTGGTAGAAACCAGTAGCAGAGAGTTAGCTCTCTAGAATCTGAATGATTCCTGTCTAGAGCAAAATTGCTGGGGGCAGTGAACCTATTTGTTTTTAAAAAGTAACTAGTGTTCATATGCAACGTGTCCCAAAACCTAGCGTAGACTTGTATTTCCTAATGTCTGGGGGCTCATCAGTGAATGCCCTGCAGTTAAGATGGGTTAATATTTGATGTTCTCAGAAGTTGTTACCATCTTGGCACTTAAATTGTCTTGGAGAAGTTGAAAATGGAAAGACAGTTTGGATTATTTTGGCTAAGGACCACTTCTTAATGTATCACAATTTATTCCCCATGTTAATTCCCTATGCCAAGCTAGATGCTTACTCCAAAAAATGTTTGCAAACATTTGTTCTGTTTTCTGTCCTTTTCATTGTTGCTTGCTTAAACTTGCAAGATCAGATTTCTCTTTGCTTAAACATTTTGACAGTTCCATTTTTGTACAGATGTCTGTATTTCTGTGCCAGTGCAGGCTTATAGGTATGAATAAAACTAGTCGTATATAATTCTTCCTCTTTAGTTTTGCGGTTATTTGGGGTTTTTTAGCTTTAAAAAAGTTTTAATTTTCCCTTCAGGGACTTGAGCAGTCAAATGTAGGGGGAGAGTTGAGAAGACCACCATAAAAAAAAAAAAATACAGCATGACCTGAGTTTTCTTAGGTAAATGATGACAAATCCTGAACAAAACATGAACAAGCAAATCCCTCCCATTTTAGAAAGAAACAGTTAACCTTGGCCACAGTTCATCAGTTCATACTTTCTCCACTTCTAGAAAAAGTGTGTAATGTGATCTAAACCCCTGGGTCTTTGTCACTCAAATGTTTCTTTACACTGCCTTAATTTGCTGCCATTCCAAAGTTAACTGTTTTGGATCTAAACACTTCTGAGCGTGTATTATCTTCTTAATTCTGCCCTGTTCCTACTGGTCATTTGTGCCCTCCTGCTGTGCTAAACTCTTCCTTTCCATTCTTCATGTTTGCTTACAGTTGAAAAATGGCCAAGCTACAAACCCAGATATAATCTCGCCTCAAACCTTTGAATAAGGATCCAGATCTTAATATATAAAGACAAACAGACAGAACCTGAGCTGGAATCCAAAAATCCAAACACTTTGTATACATTTAGAGCTGAATCTGATCTTTACAGTTTAGACCTTGCTCCGTAAGATCTCATTCAGCTATTTGCCAATGATTATCAAAGCTTCCTGCTGCAATGTCATTTTTCATAGTTTTGCTCTCCTTCAAGTCAGTTCATTCTTTCCCTTTCTTGTCCTTGAAAATGAATGATTTTTTCTGAAGTTTTAAGAAATGAAAACAGCTTTTTGCCAGCAAGAAATTCCTAGATCAGCTCTGTACGCTTGGAACTACAGAAGAGACTTTAGAATAGTAAGAAACCCCTACCCTATTAAAAATGATAAATGTTTGTTCATGGTTCAATATTCCTTAAATATTCCTTATTGTTTGTTTTTCCCAGAAATTAATCAACCTTTAAGCTAAATAAAACAGGATGTCTTGATATCTGTTTAGCAAGAACAAAGCAGTACAAAAGTTGTTAGGGGTCTTGAGATATTTTCTGGGCTGAAGTTTCTGTGATCCTGAATATCACGGTACCGTAAAAGTCATCACATCATGGAAAGAGCAAATAAACTTGTTAGACTAGACATTTTACAGTAAGATAGTAGCAAAATGAAACCACAATGGAAATATTCTGGTGTGATTTTTAAATTGTGACTAAATTTACAGGAAATTCTGTCATTGCTTGTAAGGAGGAAAAAAAAAATCAGACTATCTTCAGACATTATCTATCTTGAGCAGATTAATGAATTTCAGCACATGTAAAATACTCTTCTAGAAAGCACTCTACTCAATGTCTTACTGTGGCTTGTGTTTTGGAAGCAGGGTTCCAAAATCTTATTGCAGGTTCATAGTAGTAATAGTTTATAGCAGTGAAGTTGCATCATACCTTTAAATAGTAATAATTGTTGATGAATAGCCCCTCTGTAAGGTCATAAAAAAGCATGAGTGAATAATTATTTTCTGGCTTGTAAAAGATTTGATCTTTTGCTAAACTTCTTAAATATTGTGAGTCTAAATATACTGCCAGGAGTAATACTATTAGTATGTTGGCTGTGACTGCGAAAACAGATTCAGAGAATGTACAGAGTGTTTATTTGAAATGTAATAAAGCCTCTGTTTAAGGTTGATACCTCTCCAGCTACAGAATATAACAGTAAAGGAAAAATGTCAAGGCTAGAAGGAGAAAATGCTCACAGAACTGTCGATGCCAAGAGTAAGGAGCATGATGAAGAATACCACAGCCCAAAATGTAGATCCTGAAAGAGTTGAAATTGCCTCTGGATACAGGATAAAAACTAAACCAGCTCCTGAAATACAAAAGAAATGGGGGGGGGGGAAAGTATTACTAAATGATGTTTGTTAGCTTTGCAAGACTGTTCATTTTTAATATGATAAATTCTGGCTAAGTTGACTTTTACATCAGTCCACAACACACTGAGTAGCTATTAAAATTTGCATTATACAAAAAATATATCCAAAATACTTTAATAATGTACTCTATCCCATTTGTTTCCACTTCTAATAATCTTTTATGGGATTTACAACCTTACTAGCTATTTTTCAACTGTGTAGTAGAGAAGGAACCCTGTTGATGTGGACTCCACTGTTTGGCAGGAGAGCTCCTGGCTGCGATGAGAGACACAGGAACGGAAACCATGAGTGATCTGTTATCAGCGAAAGGACTCTGTAGCTAAGCCTACCAGAACCATCCAAAACAGTAACCTATGGCACTGAGCAGCAGTACTTTTGCGAGATACTGTGCAGTGGTAAATGCCTGTTTGTTGCACAGGCTAAACTTGCGAGGGGCAAGATGTCGGGAAACCTCAATTCAGTAGAGGTGAGATGAATCAATACCATTTAGATCTCACATTTCAGCAAGCCTTGTACACACAGAGGTTTAGTCCCAAGTAATTTAATTCAGGTCACTTCCATGGGACTTTCACACACTTGTTTGAAACAAATATAAACACATTTGCAAAGAAACGGTCGACAAAAAGTGGTAAAACTAACATAAAATTAACTTCCTACCTTCAGTGGCTACATCCTCAATTTTAACTTTGTGCTCATGAGCCATGTAGCCCAGTATGGAGAAAATTGCGAATCCTGAGATGAAGCTTGTGACACAGTTAATGGTACTGGTCAGCAAAGCATCCCTAATGATGGAGAAAAGAACAGCCTGGTGAAAAAAAACCACTTTAAGAACTAGATGGGGATTGTCTTATAGCAATAGCAAGATTCTTGTGAAGATTTTAATTGTGCAATTATCCTGATGATCAAAAGCTTGTATAAGCATACTATGCTAGGAAATGACCAACTTCTGTTTACTATTCTGATTTAAAACTGAGTTCTGTTAAAAAAAAATAATCAGCAAAGCTATATTAAATATTAAGATATTAATGTCATCATCCTAGCTGGTAGCTGTAGCATAGCAAGAGCGTGGCCTGAAGTGAAAGAACCTTAATATTTATCAATTCATGTGAGCAGATATTCAAGAGTATTTTCAGACAACTCCAGGAGTGCACTTTAGCAAACCGTGCCGCCATTCAGATGGCAGTGGATAACCATTCTTAATCTGTAATGAGGCCCTTTCATCTGTGAAGTCAGCTAGGCTTTTCTGAAAGAAACACAACTTCTGTTTATCAAATTAAGATAGTGAATTTAGTTTAAAGGTTAAATATTATAGTGTGCATCATATAGTAACGACTGTACAAAGTTGTGGGTTTTAATCAATGTGCCATGGTATTACGATAGATGCGTGAGTGTTTTTCTGGGTATTAATAACCACTGTTACTAAACCTAGCTTGAATATAAGTAGACCATAGGTCTTCAGATGCCTACCTAATCTGCGCTGTGTCTTGTATGTAATCTTGTGCTGCACAGGACCTTTAGAACAGAGGACATGGCTCTGTGAACATCAGTAATGCCAAACAGTGCTTTAATAAGCAGAAAGTAAATATGATTTCCTTTCATCGGTTACACTACCCAAAAACATAGGTGCCATCCACCAAACTTTAACCTTTTCCTTACATTACTTCATTTTTATAACATTGAAGAATTTATGTCCTGCAATTCTTAAAATGCTTTCCTGGGGGAAGGCTGCAGGATCAACAGAGACCAGGTTGGACCCATAAACTCCAATTCTTTTCAGTCATTAAAGAAGAAAATTGCTAAGTATTTGTCACTGATAAGATGGCAACAGTAGTTCTTGTTTCCCACAACTCAAAAACATTCTTATGTAAGTGAATAATGCATCTTTTCACTTAGTGAATACCTGGCTTATGTGATGCTTATCTCCTTACAGACCAGGCTGAGCTAGCTGTCAGTATTTTGCATGTAAAACTAGATCATAATTTAAGTACAGATTCTTATACTTTCTGGCCCGATTTTCAGTATTGTTACTCTAGCTTACATTACTGACACTATTCCTCTTGTGGAAGGTGTGTTGAAGTGTAGATGGGACAGTATAGTGCTGAGTTACGGTCTTCATTTGGACACACTACTACTTTCAATTTGTTCTGTTTCAAGAAAGCCTTTTGAACAAAATATGTCAGCACATTATGGAGTTATTTGATCAAAAGAAGGGTATTTGTAAGTGTTATAAATGCTACTGCATTGAAGCTTGCTTTTATGGTTAGAACTAAACCACAGTATTTAATGAAACTACAGGTTACTCTTACAGGGAAGGCAAGGCTTATGAAGCAACATTGAACAAATATAGTAAGCTAGGAGCTAAATAATATGATTTTGCATATAGTCTGTGGTGTTTTCTTAGTTTCAAGTCTTTTTCCATTTCAGAGCAAAATCAGAATACAGAAAAAAACAATGCTTCTATAAGACTAGTGGAAATTATTTGCAGAAGATGATAAATGTTATTTTGGAAGACTGCTGTGGCTAGCGTTCTAACTGAAGGGTTCTCAAACCTGGTGATATTACCTCCTGCAAATTATCAGCTGGCAACCTAAAATCACTCTGGGTTAAGTACAAATCTCTCTGAAGTCAGTGGAAGTATTCCATCATTTTGGCTTTCAATCCGTTTAAGGCAGTTCAAATCTGTGTATTTTCTTGCGTCTTTTCACTTTAATGTTTTTTTGCCACCCTTCAGTTCACAATGTATTTATAATACATTTACTTTCTGAATTTATATTTCATGGGAAATTTTAAAGCGATGCTTGTTTTCATTCCAAAATGGAATGTTAACAAAACTTCTAAATGTTGGATGTTCTCAGAAGGTACAGTGCGGTTCTGGTTGAATTTCCATGGCGGTGATTCAGCAAAACACTTACAAACTGACTTGATTTAAAGTGCGTTCCTAAATTGGAGCTCAACATGAAATATCAGAAATATAATACCAAAGCACTCAAACACTTCTGGAAATGAGAATCCTTTGCTTTTAGTTCCTGGACCAATAAGATTTCATCCTGTGTTCACTGTTGCTCTTAATGGTACTTTTGAAAGGCAAACACAAGCACAGTTTACACAGCTGTCTAAAGTCCAAACTTAATCCCATTCTGTTTTGCTGTGCAGCACATATCTTGGCAGGTTCTTGTTGCTAAAATTTCAGTAAGGAAGACAGCGTTTCAAGATTTGGGTTGGTTGCTATGTCCACACAAGACTGACCATCATTAATAAATGACTGAAGATAAAAAGATAGCTTAGTATTTAGTCCAGCTGCAGTTAGAGTAAAATAGTATCATTCTGAAGCAGTAATGAAAGAATAGGCTCTCTTACCTGTAACAGTTGTTGTCAAACTTATTGTAACTGGCAAATGCAATTAAAACGCCAAACCCGGCTCCTAAGGAATAAAATATCTGAGTAGCTGCATCAATCCATACCTGCATAATGACACCATCATTGTCAGTGTTAGTTCAGTCCAAAAGATACATCAGTGAAATGCAAGAGTATACAAGACAACTGGCTCTTGAAAAATGATCAGCCTTCATGCTTATGGGAGTGTAAGTACTTCTCAGCTCCCATGAGATGTCACACAGAGCACAGTCATGGTCTGCAATGACTTAACCTGAAATGGTAAGAGCTGAAGCAGTGGGCAAGTTCTCAGTGCGTGCACACTGCCACCACGGTGGGGTGTACCACTTGGATGTGTACTTCTGAGCTTTTACTGAGTACTGAAATGATTACATGATTTTTCTCCTGGGTGACACAGATACGCTTCCAATAGTTCTTGTTCCAAGTTAGTTTGGAATGTACAACCAGAAACCTAAAAATAGTTAATGGGTCAAGAGTTACAGGACACTTTCTCTTTCCCATAAGAGAGCTTTCTTCAGGGGACTGTTAGTATGATGCTTTCTTGTTTCAGAAGCTGAAGCACTACTGACATGCTGTGAACAGAACCATGCAGGTTATCTGTCACCTTTCCCACATAGTTGGAGATGGAGTTATTCCTGTGGTGATAATTACATTTTGGTTTAGATGCAGCTTGGTCATTTTAAGAATTGTCCAGTGGGGAAAACATGCTTTTAATGCTATAACACTTTCTAAAGTGACCCTACAGCTCAACACTCGCTCAGGATGTGCAGACAGCAGTCAGGAACAATGCCACAGTGCTGGTCTCCTGAATCAGAAGCCTGAAAATAGTCTGCCACTTATTCAGTTGTTACACGGAGATATTTAAACAAGCATCTTCCACACGGGTAATGAAGTCAATAGAGTGAATAACAGTCAGTGTTTTTCAAAATGAGATCTTAAATGTTTGATTAAATCTGCCAAGTGCTCAAGACTACAGAAAGCACTGGGTTTCATCTCTACAAAATCAGATCCAATGTATATTCAGCTTCAGCTTTCTAACAGACCTAAGCAGATTATGAGCTCCATCTGCATTGGGATTTTAATGCTAAGCTTTCACATTTGGCCCAGTGGAAAGAAAGAATGCCTTATTCCATCCTAACATGATATATAACAGCACTTATGCTAGTGGTCTATTTTTTCTCAACATAAATGATAGATGCTTTCAACTACTGCCTGCTGGAGACTGTGAACCGTTTATTGAACTCTGGATTTGTACAGAAACTTAATTTCATAAACTGAGAGTTAATTACTTGAAAGTTAATACGAAGAACAATCTATGATCTGTTTATTGCACATCAGTGGATATGATTTTTCCCAAATTTCAGTTCATACAGGGCTTTTAGGTATCATGGATTTCTTTTAGTAAATAGCAAGGCAATCCTGTAAAATTAATTGCTTATTCCTTTTATATACCTTGTTACGTTTATCTCCACAGAAAGGTTGAGATCAAATAGGGTTGTACTCTCTGAGGAGCCTTTATACCGATAAGAGTGTAGAAGGAGGGATGCAAAGCTTCCTAGAATTTTTGTTTTTTAAAACTTCTCGTAACTTGTCTTACTGAAGTTACTGAAGGTTTTTTTAAAATAAATTTTGCTTAAACTATAACTAAATCTGCACACTGCTACCATAAGGCACTTGTTTTGAGTGGTTCTCTAGCTCTTTTGTGACTTGCCAGGGGAGCTGTACTTCTACTTCCCCTTTCTTAGTATTCAAGCACCGTTAAGCAGCTGTTTAAGTCCTATTCATTCAAATAAGAGGTTAGCGCCTGCTGCCTATGAAAGGAGTTATGCATATGCTTGAGTATATGTTGACTAAGAGTCTGGGCTCATAGTAGCTGCTTAAGAAACAGATTGAGAAGATCAAGGTGAAGAGAAAAAAGAGCAGAAACCAGAAATTCCTTTAGAACTAAGATTAAATGCAAAACATTCCCTTTGTTATATCCAAGCAGGATGTGAAACAGACGGTGGGGCTTGTTCTTCTGCAGTTTATGCTCATGTTCTCTGTTCACCTGAATGGCTTCTGATTGAAGCATAGTCTAATATATTTTTATGGTAGGATATCATTTTTATATGCATTAAAAATGGAAAAAATAGGAACATTTTACAGGAGGCAGTCATCCAGCTTTCTTCATGGTTGTTTATGCTATTATAACTTTCATGCATATTCTTTCTTGTGTATGTGGATTTAAAGAATTACTGTGCTGCGTGGAGAGGAAACATTGTGTGCACCCCCTGATCTTACATAATCTTCAGGAAACTTGTTAAGGTGTGTGAAAGAGCAAGTGTCTCCTCATGTCTGATTTCACTCTGTATTTAATTTCGATTCCTTTAGCAGAACAGATGAGTAGCTACTGTTTTACACAGATGTTTAATGTATCCATTTGTGCAGCAGAGATGAGTATTAAGGCTTTGTAGCTTGTGGACTTTCAGCAAGGAGCATAGCTGGGCATTGAGCTAGTTAAGAGGTTCTCAGGTGAATATCTCTCTTCTTTTTAATAGACACCCTTTGTGGATTCAATATCCCTGAAAATGAGGTGTCTCAGGCCTCGCTGAGTGCTGTGCAGTATGTGGCCCTATAAAATGAGGCAGACCTTGATACTGATCAGGACGCTCTGAGGTCTTTTAGAAGAGCAGAGCCCTCTGTAGGTCATTACTGTTTGTGACTTATGATGTTTCTTTGTTAGATTCTTCATTTGGGAGGAAAAAAAATCATAAATCAGAAGGATTCAGGGACACATTGACATAGAACTGAAGCAGGAGTCTATTCTTCAGAGCCTGAGGACGAAGATTAAACACGCAAGCCTATTGCAGCAGCAGGTATCCCAGTCTCCAAGCAGGAGAAAGGCTGACATGACAAAGCAGTTTGTGAAACTTCTCCTTATAAATGATCTTCAGCCTTTTATTATTCTAGAACAACTTTCCTTCTTGTGTGAAAAATTTAGTCTTCGAAACAAGTAACTTCAGGGTCATCCAAATAGCAGCTGCAAAAATACTAAGCCAAGAAAGAGCAGTGCACAGAATATCCTTCCAAAAGCAGAAGGCAGCTATGATTATGGAAACCTAGATTCTGAATTGATGCAAGCTGGCACAGCTCTATAGGCATGTAGTTGAACTTCTGATGTTTTTTTTCCAAACCACTTAAAATATATAAGAAAAATTTTAGCACCTCCTTTGTTTGTCCTGCATCTTTGTATTTATGTATCTGTGTTAAGTGTGAACTACTGACGTGGTTACTGCCTTGGTGACAAAGGTGGATGAAAGTCACATATTTGAAGTTTGGTTTGACTATTTTAAAATGGAGTGAGATAGGATCTGGGTTCTGGTGGTGACTTCTGTTGTTGAAGAAATGCCAGTTTCCAAATTTAGTATTATAAAACCAAAGAAGGATTGTTTTGCTAAAAGTATATAAAGTAGGTCTGTATTATAACACTCCTTGCCTTTTTAATTATTGAGAAAAAATCAAACTAGGAAATGTACAGTGCAACTATATACAAACTACCGACATCTCTGAAAGCTGCAAATTTTCAAGACAGTTTATTACCTTCTAGTAGAACTATGTCCTCGCTTTTCAATTTGTAACCTTTTGAATGGTCTCATGACCACAGAGACACCACTGTCTTATAAGTGATTTATGATATTAGAATAGCACTGTGGTAAGATATGTCTGTAGTCACCAGATCATTGTTCCTCATAGGTCTGAAATGCTGGTGATTTTGTGAATTAGTGACTATAATTGTAGATCTTGCTTTACAATGGATGAAACAATTCTTAGTTCCAAGGTGCTCCACTAGTTGAGTTGATTTGAACATATTTAATGAGAATGTCTTGCAATGTGGTTAAACGATACAGGCAAATGTACATTACTTTCAGTAGTAAGACAAGAACATACTATTGAAAATCTCATTTGTATGAAGGACCATGATTAGGTGAGTTAGTCCTGATTTAGTATGTTTAGCAAGGTTTTCATAGGCCAGGAATTTTGTTTACCAGGTTAATGTTTAACCTAGTTACTCAAAAAGCAGTATTTTCTTGAGGGAATTCTTAACCTTTTGAGAACTAATTTTGCATGACTGAATTTTAATGCATAGAGGATACTGCAGTTTACAGGGTGCACAGTCAAAGCATGGACCTCAAGGGACTGCCGCGCCTGAAACTGCCCTTGTCCAGGTTTTTTTTTTTTGTGATCAAAACAGTTTGGGTTCAGGCTGAGATAGTCCTGTTATGGACAGTGTTGGAAAATTAGGCTATCAGGGATAGTAGACTAGTGCTTACGAAAAAGCAGAAGTGTGGCTATATAATTTCAGAAATTAGCTTTAGTATTTTCAGTTTTTACGAGAGGCTACAGATTTAATAATAGCAAGGGAATGAGAGCAGAGGAGTACACTTACTGTGGCTTCTTTTAATCTTCTGAAGTCTATGTGCAGGTAGGCATTTATTCCATTGTATGCACCAGGGAGGGTTATTCCATGTATTAACAAGACAAATAATACAACATAAGGCAAAGTGGCTGTTATCCAAACAACCTGCAGACAACAGAGATCCCCAAAGTTAATCAGTTGTTACAGAAGATGGAAGAATGTGTGAAAAATACAGCTGGCACTTTCTTGGTTTTGTCTCTTCAGTTTGGTGGAGAAGCTCTTTATAGGACATCTCAGGGGAAAATGCTGTTAGGCATCATGAATGTTTACGTATGTATGTTTACAGATACCAGTATGAGACATTTTTGGCAAACAGAATACTTGGAGTGCTTATACATTACCAGTGTGTGTTAGACTGCTAATTAGCTATATATTTATTTACTGAACAAGTGCAGTCATTGCACATCATTAGGTGATGTTTCATGACAGTGTACAAAAAGCTCTCAGATGTATCCAGCCCTAGAATTTCTGTTGAAGTGTTTTCTGAGGGATGTCAAAGAGTAATTTCAAATTACTTTCATATTTCTCTTGTCATGGCATTTTATGTAATAAAACCAGAGCATTTTAAAGCATCAAAACATTAGTACTTTTGGTGAAGAATAGGAGGCACATTTAAGAAACTTTAAAGTCTTTCAAAATATTTTCTAGATGAGACCACTCTTGTTGAATTGAAAATAACATGCTAATGGAATTTCCATTGAGAACATCACACAAGCAAAACTTGTCAATAAAATAAAGGGTTAATCTGGATTGTGTATTTCCACTGTATGTCTATGAAGGCATCTCACATGGTTTGGTCCCTGAGGATCCCTCAGAAGCAGTGATTTAGTCTCTTGCTTTCTAAAATTAAACTGCTTAAAGGAGACAAAGAACATAGTTGAGATAGAAGGACAATATTAGCTCTACCTTTCCTGAAGTCTTCACGCCTTTCCACAGACTAAAGAAAAGAATGATTACCACCACCAAGAGGCAGAGGGAAAGTTGCCAGCGAGGCAAGCCAAGGTCATGGATTCCACGGCTTTCATGCAGGTGCAGAACTCCTCGCCTACATACCAGATACACAGAAACAAAGCAAAGTCACTGGGGAGAAAAAGGTTTTTTACATATCTCATCCTGTGGGCAGCAGAAGTAGATGGTGTACTGCAGTAGTAGCTGCCCTACTGACATCGCTAGCAGTTAGTGAAACCTGTTTTGTGAAGCCATGTATTGTGCTCCTTTCCGCAATGCCTTTATGTTCTCACCAGCCCGTCAGTGTCTGTTTAGCACTGTAGTGCCATAAGAACAGCACTCTGTTCTCCTTCACTGGAAGTGTTTGGGGGTTTTGGAAGTACCATTCCTTGATTCTTGCTTGAATACTGAGCAGATGCCCAGAGAATTTCCATCCTTGCAGATCTTAAAACTTGCTCAGTAAAGGCCTTGAGCAGACTGATTTACTTTTGAAGTTAGCCTTGGTTTGGGTAAGAAGTTGTATTAGATGACCTTCAGAGACCTCTTTTGACCTAAACTATTTTGTGATTCTAGATAAGCAAACAGGTGGCTTCCTCCAACTTGGGCAGTTCCAAAGTTACTTTCAATTTCTTTTTGAATAGGCTATTGCGAGGCTGCAAAAAAGTAGTTGGATAGGAAAAGCAACAGTTGGTGAATTTAAATTGGATGTAATTGTGTGGCTGTGTTGTTCGCTGAGACAGTGGTGTGATAGCAGAGGAAATTCTGTTGCTTACCAGGGCGGGCTAATTCTTTTGAGATCTACATAATGAAATGGATGGAAATGTAGGAAAGAGCGTTGGTTCCCGTGACTGGTGATATCTACAATTAGAGTTGTCAAAACACATTGTGTGCAACAGGCACAGGGATATGGGAGAGATTTTATAGTCGATCTCTCATGCTTTAACTCAGTTCTATGCTATCAAAGTGTTTCTTGCTGCTTTTTGAAATCTAAACAATGCAGAAAGATCTTGCTTTACTGAAAGCTGTATTTGCAAAGAGGAATAGCATTGTGGCTGGAGCCCTGCACTAGAGGAGAATCGCCGAGCTAACTCCTGGGTCTGATACAGATCTACAGGATGCTGGCTCAGGGATTCAGTTTCTTAGTGTTTCAGTGCCCATCCAGATAAAACGGTCACGACCTTCCTTGTCTCCTCCCATTCTCTATCACCTTTTATTTGCTATGCACTGCTTGGGTAAAATAGAAGGTTGATCTCTCTTGGCTTCTCTTAGCACGGTGATAGTACAAACAAATCAAATCAAAGAAGCCCTTTCTACTGGAGGACCTTGACATGTTTTATGAAGACATCTACATTTTAGAGAAGCTGAAGCACTTGAGTGATTTGCCCTGCATGACTGCAGACACGTAGAAACTAAAGCCTGAGGAGTATAATTCCAGCCTTATTGGCTATCTGTATACAATCACTTACTAGATAGATGGTGCTTCAGAATTTACTTGTCTTATCAAGTCAGAGATGAGTGAGATAGTTGAATAAGTTCTATGATAGGGCAAACCTGTGTCAACTTAAATGAGGAAAACTGAAAAATGTCTCTGTACTACTTAAACTGTAGAAACATGCTGGGAAAATTACGGCCCATTAGAACGATCCATCTAGTAATATGAAAGAGTTGCATACAATTCCCTTTTGATCCCCAAAGCATCAAGATATGATCAGCTAAGAATTGTAATAGTTCTGCTTCTGTAGTTTCTCATGTTTAATAAGAAATGCTGTATTTTTGAACTGTTTCAGTGATTTATCCCAGGTTGGATAAAAGACTTGTAGAAAATGTCCTCCTAAATTAAACAGCTGATCTGCTTCTGTTGCATTGTAAGGCTAATAACAAGTGACCCATTAAAAGGGTAGTGACCATGTGTTTGTGGCATATATTCAAGAACGTTCCTATTTAGAAAGTATGAAGTGAGTTTAACTCTTATTATACAACAATATAGCCATTACCTGTGGAAACAGTCAAACATAGAGGCAGACTTCTTGATATCTCATCTAAAACCCCATTATCTTTATTTAAATGTAAATAAAGAGGTAGTTCTCATTACTTAGAGTGTGAATGAAAACTATGTGTATTTCTGCTGATAAAGTATAATTTGCCAGAGGATCCACAGGTGTAAGTGAATCCTGGGCAGGGATTCCTCATTCCATTCTGAATTTACCAGCTTGGACAGCAATAAGTGTAGCCGGGAAAAGCTTCATAGGCTTCTGATCAGAGCAGTTGTCCAGGATCCTGGGAAAGGTTTAGGTAATCTGTGCTATCACAGTTACACTGCTATCACTGTCAGAGCTGGATGTTGTAGGAAGAAAAAAAAAAAGTAATTTGGATTATGATGTGTAGATGTCTACTCAGAAAAACTGAATCTGAACTTGCATTCTTTGTGCCCATTGAGCTTTTTATTCTTCTTGCCCAAATATTTTCTGGATTTGTAGAGGAGCCTGCTTCCTTTAGTGTTTGCTTTCCAAGAAGCAGCTAGCAATGTCTTACTGTTTGGAACACTTGCCAGAACTGCCATTTCAAATGTGGGATTCCCAAGATTTTCAGGAGAATCTCCATTCCAAGTGTTCTGCTGTCTTAATCAGGTTAATGGATTATAAAATAGGAAGAGAAAAATACTTTTGTAACTAGTCAAAACAGCTGTGTAACTGGGCAGCTAAGCAAGGAAACCTTCATAGACAGCTGCTGTTTCTGAGCTGCAATTTTGGTGGGTTTTGCTTCCTTTTCATTTTTTTTTTTTTTTGTTTCTCTTTGTGACCTCTGAAGAGAAGTCATCAAAGCTTTCCAAAAGATGCCCTTCTTGAGCGTTGCTAGGAAGTAGTTTGTGAATGTTCACCTGTTAGAAGCTACATTTCTGTTCCAGTGGCACCATAAAGTGTAAAATATCTAGTGCTAGACTGTGATGTAGGTTAAGATGTGCTGACGTGTGTAGAGATGGAGGAGGAGAGAAGCAGCAGCCAAAGTATTATATAGACTAAACTTTCTTGGCTTAGAGGATATAGCTCTGTAATGTCCTTTGAAAAACAGTCATTTTTTGGAGAAGGGCAAATTTGGAAAGAACTTTGCATTCATTGTGTACCTCCAAGGTAGTGGATGCATCAGTGATGCTACAGAAAATCCAGTTAGCTCAATTATGCCACAATTATTCTTATCTCACACCAAGCAGCTGAGGCTATTTTTAGCCTGTGTCAGTTAAGGCAGGTTTAGTAATAAACCCTTGACAGGCTCCTTTAGATTATACTCAGGCACTTCCCTTATACTGGCTGCAAAGAGGAAAATGTGAAGTAAAGAGATACTGCAAGATTCCCCGTTGATGAAGCTCTGAGGTCAAAACACCCAAATTTTCAGCCTTTTGATGTTACAACAGAATAATGCAATGTGGCCAACATCTATTCCTGAATTGAAGTTGCCTTCACTAGCTGCCGGATTGTCCCATTTCCCAGTACTATAAAGACATGTACAAGTCATGGACGGAATGGCATAAACTGATCTGTTAAATCTCTAAGCCAGGGAACCAGAGGAAATACAGCACTGGTTGGTACCAGCCTGCGTTGTCTGTCAACTTCTTTAATTACGTCCAAAGCTACTCACAATGTCTTAAGTAAAAGCTTCTGAAAGTGATTGTTGTTTCACAAGTATAGAGATATTTGTTCAATTCTGCTAACAAAATAAACTGTCATAATTTACAACTCTGAATCAAAGAGAAAGGAAAAATCGGATGCAGTACGACAACTAGGATTACTGTTTTGCCTGCAGAATGTTGTTGTTGAGAACAGAATGAAAGTAGATAAGAAATACGTGCAAAAAGGAGAAGAAAATGTTATGGGGGAAAGATTGAGAATAAACATTAACAGATGGAGCTGACAGAAAGTAGAACAGGGACCTATTCTATTTTGCTGAGCAAAATACAAGAGGAGCTAATAAATTTAAGCTTTCTGATATTCTAGTCATACCTCTAGCAATATTTATTTAGTACAGCACCAAGAATCAAAGAACGTGCACTGGAGATAAGAAATTAACTGGGTTTTTTTATCAGGGATTTGTGTAGCGAGCCTGATTTATGCTGACTGCTTTCCATGTAAGAGAGCGTAAATTACATTTGCAATGAATTTGAGACTGTACATCTCTGTAAATATGGATCCCAAGAGTCTTTCTGCCTATCTGCAAGAGGAGCA